TTATTATTATTATTATTATTATTATTATTATTATTATTATTATTATTATTATTATTATTATTATTATTATTATTATTATTATTATTATTATTATTATTATTATTATTATTATTATTACTATTGCTAATTGTTGTTGTTATTAATTATTATGCGGAAACAAATATTGATTGAAATCAACACTTGGATAGCTAATAATGTTGAAGAATTTTACGATAAGAAAATTGTAATTCATGGTTTTTTTGTAATTTTTCTCTTTACTAAGCATTTCAACGATGCATTAAAACGATAGGATGTAATGAATGAAGTCGGAAATTTTTATCCATTTGTTCACATTCATTTTCCATGTGTTAATTGCCTTTCTTCTTTTTTGTTTTTTTTTTTTTTTTTTTTAAGTAATTTAAACTGTTAACGATGATGAATTGGTAAAAAGTAAGCAGTTGTTTTCTTACAATTTTCTCATTTTCATTCTTTTCCACACTTATCGGTCTTGAAATTCATTAAAATATTCACATTTTTACTGCTCATTCACCAAAAACAAGTGAAAAATGAAAAAACGGTTCAGTGTTTGTACATTTTTGCCTTATCGTTTTTTTTCTTTTTATATATAAGATTTTAGCATATCTATAATTTTTCGATAGCATGCTATAATCTGTGACATTATGCTTTCTACCTTTCCATATCATTGTAGTTGATTCAAATACTCGATGAAAAATGTGCAAAAGTATATTATACATTTATGAAAATGAGTTATATGTTTCCAAGGATAAAAGCCTTCATTTTTTTTTTTTTTTGGATACAAATGAGTTTCAATTTCCTTAAATTACGAAATTTTGCAAATTTCTTTACTTAAATCATACCAACTTCCTCTGTACTTGTAGGGTAAAACATTTCGAAATCTTTTAAAGCTCGAGAAATTATAGTGTTTGTCATTAAAATTGCAGTTTTTTCTTTTTTTTTCCTTATGTAAAGCAATTATTTGAAATGAAATATTTGGATAACATTTACAAGTTGATCGGACTCGAAATCTTCTATTGCATAAAGTACGATGAGGTATTAGTACAAACTAAGAAAAAAAAAGTACAAACTAAGCTAAATATTTCATAGTTAATACTTGTTTGTGATATGGTTTCAATTTTTTGCAATAAACTTCAAAAGCATGAATGAAATTAATCATTTTCAAATAGATAAAAAAAGATAGAAAAAGAAAGAGAATTTACATTATTCGATTTGGTGATGTGTTGTTGAAGGATAGTTAAAGAAATGTTGAAGGATAGAATAATAATGATGACTAGGATAAGAGGATGTTTGCGCTTTTCTGCTTTACTACTGGGTAGATATTTTCTAAATGAATGATTTGTCAGATTATCATAATTGTGCAGATATTTAGTAATGTAAAGAAAAAAAAAGTAAGTCTAATTATATCCCAATCAAATTTATTTCTGTTTATTCGTCAATAAATGAGAGAGAATGAAACAAGTGTAAAATTTTTACCTGGATCAACTTCTTCCGTAATTCTCCAGTAACTGGAATACATGATTTATGCTTGTTGAGAATATCATTTCTTTCGCTTTCTTTACCTAAGATAAAATTCCACTGCACGGATACAACACTTAATTATGCATTATCGATTAATATTTATAAAAATAATCACGTTTTATTTTGCAGGAATCTTTTGAATGATATCATTTTGAATGCTTAAGCTTGTTATATATTCTGTTTATGTGCAGAATTTTCTTAAAACTTAGCAGGAAAAAAAACAGAATAAAAAACTTGGTTGAACTAGTCATAATTCATTTTACTGTGATATTATTGCAAGTTTTGATTTATCAAAACCAGTAAATAAACTAGAAGTTTGATTATCTGCATGATGAATTTAAAATAGTCTTCATTGTTCCTTTTTTTTTTGAGGGGGTACTGCTAATTAATATGCTTTTGAAAAAGGAAGTTTATAGTGATTTTCTAAGAGAAAAACATTTCAATGCTATTGGTGTAATTATACAAATAGGACAAAAAAAGAAAAAAATTAAATCAAATGTAATTTGATTGAATAAATGAAACATTTACCACTCAATTTTTGCTCTTCAATGATATCTGCTAGATGATCCGTTTGGGTAGGTGATAGTTCAGGTAAAAGTAGTACGATACGAGCAAGGTAAGGAACAATCATTACATTTGCCAGCAAAATGCTTGTATCAGATTTCAATAATCACAATATAGTTGAATCGCGGTGAAATTATTAGCAATACTTCTAAAGGATTTTCATTTTATTCCTAATCAAATTTCAATAAAGTTTCAGGAAAATTCGAGTAAACTATAGTAATTCGACAATTCGATATGGAACGAATGGAAATAAATTGGTCACAATTTCCGAATTACATCAATTACTTATAGAATAGATATGGTATGAAAAATCTCTCCAATGAAATCGCTACCATTTGCGCTTTCAATATTAAAAAATGTAAGTCTTATGATCTTTTAACAACAAAATTCTTTACCCTTTCTATGCTTGTGAATCAGCTTGTCAATTTTTTTTTTCATTTTATTTTTTTATAGAATGAAAATAATGAGCTATACTTCATTATGTAAGTGACCTGGTGCAAAAAGTTTTTCTCGGCCTACTGAATTCATATTTGATAAAAGAAAAAAAATGAAATGAAATATAAAATGGTAAAGCATTTAATATGGTCGTTACTTAGCTGTTTGTTCGAAGTAGTTGTAATTTCATGAAAAAAAATCCTATCAATGGTAATAGACATTTCATTATTTCTAGCCCATATTCACCGTTTCCTTAACCTTCCGGCATTAGCAGCGCATGATTCTTTTTTTTTTAAAATCTTTTAAATTTCTCAACGTGAAAAAAAACTGACAAGTAGGTCTACCTTCGATCATCTCGCCCATTTCATTTCCTGGCTATATTTTCCGAAAAGAAAATTAACTTTTCAGCATTGAATAATTGAAAATTTGTTTTCCAAATTTTTCAGGAATCTTGGCAATAAAAAGCCTTTCCCACTTGCTATTTTCATTTCGGCAACGGATTTAATGATTAACATATAATTAAAAGAATAGAAACTATGCATTTATATGATAGTGAAGATAACAAATATTCCAAAAAAAAAGCAGGTTTTTTTCCAAACATTCATTAGTGAGAACATTTATCGTTTTTAGCTTACTTCCAAAATGAATACTTTACTACCTACAACATAGTACCAAATAGATGAAGTAGAATGAAGTAGAGTTTACAAAAAAAAGAAAAAAACTGCATTTGCTATTAATGTTGAATTCATAGTGCCCGTATTTAAAATTTAAGACTCGAAACTGTGCTAGATAGAATTGTTGATTGCTAAAAACGAGAAAAAAGCCTAGAAAGACTAATGTATGGATATGGAAGGACTAATGTATAAATAAAAATTAAATGAAGCAATAAAATTTGTAAAAATATGCGGAGTTTCTCAAAAAAGAACAGGAAAAAGCTATAAGTTGCTATTTATAACCGAGATTTCTTCCTTCTTATAAATTTTGTCCTTTTTTTTACTACTATGAATTTAATTTATTTTGCTGCAATTCTAACATAAAGAAATGCTCTTAACTGTTGGTGAAGTTTGATTGCATCAACTTACCTACCTATTATTAAAGAATGCTTTAATGATAAATAAGTGGAAGGATGAGAAAACAGATGATATTAAAGCACTTAAAACAAACTATGATTAATTCAGCTGGGACGCATCCATTTGAAATTGAATAATGCTTAAAGATGGATACTAAAGACTAGAGAGACTGGTCTAGTCTGATACCCTTTCACTCATCATTCCTGCCGAGCGCTATTGGCCCATGAAATTTGTTGTCAATGAGGAAGTGAAGTGTAATATTCCATATACATATACACACAAATACACACACACACACACACAGATAGACACAGACACACACACACACACACACACACACACACACACACACACATACATATACATTTTTCTTTTTGACAGCCACTGTAATTGACAGCTAGCATTTCGATGCTAATATCGCCTTTATAATAGATATTTGGGTGTAGCTTATTCCCCAGGTGACAAACTTTCCTTTTATCACTACTCCTTATTATCGATCTAACTTTCATTTCATATGCATATTTTTGAATTGCATCCAGTTAAACATATCAATTTTATGTTATTGAAGACAGGTTCAATGAAAGATATGGACATCTTACTGAAATTTTTGCGGAAATGTCAATAGCTCGAGTTAGATAACTTTAGTGATGTGATATCATTATCATATATGTCCAGTATAGACTTCAAAATAAGTAAAGAGAACATTGAAGTTGGTTAGCTAGCTAGTTAGCTAAGTTAGTAAAGAATAGAGTCAGCAATATTCCAGTTAGAGTGCTTTAGTTACAGTAAAGTGTTGACAGTTATTGAAATGTTTGGTTTGCGAAATTTTTATGGAATTTATTTTAGCAACCGCCTAAAATGAGCGGTATCTGAAACGGTAATGATGCACAAAAATCAAACTTATAGATACTTACTATCCTTCATTTACACTTTATTTATACTTAAAAGTATATAGGATGATTAAATGCAATAATATTCCGACAATGATTTAAGGATGGGGGAAAAAAATTATATCAAGAAAAAAGAGCGGATCAAATAGAATTAACAAAGGATATTGTAGAAAAGAAAATGGTATGATATTTGAGAATGCAGAAAATTTCAGAGTAGGGAAGAGAGAGAGAAGAAAAAAAAAAAACTGATAAACGAGGGGAAGCAGTGGCGGTACTATTTAATAAAAATTTTCAAAGGATAAGAAATATTAACAGTACTAATCTTCTCGACAAATAATATGTTAGTTAATATCACGAAGTCATTCGGAATATATTCTTTTGATGATTATTATGAACTCTATAAATTCAATTTTAATTAAATCTTCAGTCTGTTGGCTACTTATTATCACCATATTTATGTACTAAAAACAAACAGAAAAAAAAATTTATGAATAAGAATTTCTTAATTTCTTGGGAAATCGGTAATATTCTCATCCAAATGTTTTGCACATTAACTTCCTCTCGAAGTCTCAAAAATATTTTAAACTAAATGGTTGTATGATTTCAATTCCGCCTCTCTCTCTCTCTTTCCTTCTTCCTCTCTCTCTCTCTCTCTCTTAATCTCTCTGCGCAGATGGATATAACTGAGGCGCATCATAAATTGATGAAGTTGTGCATTAAATTAAACGGAATTTAAACTAAAATCAGTAATCGCATGTAATACTAATCATGTAGGAAATTCCGAAATTAAAATGAAAAATTGAATAATAAACTAGATGAAGGGTAAATGTTGTTCCCTTCTGTTGCAGCAAAAGAAAAAAAAATATCTTTTCGGAAAAGAATTTGCTAAATAAAAAAAANAAAAAAAAAAACAAAAAAGCCTGAAAACACCGCTTATAATGTGTCGGAAAATATGCTCATGCAGCAATGCATAACTGTACATTTGCGCTCATATATATATATATATATATATAT